CTGAAGGTTCCTTGAGTTGTTTCCTCGTGCAGCCCTAGATCGGCCAACTGCATGGTGATTTAAGAGGCTGATCGAAGTTCTCAGGTAAGCCCAGTTTTTGGATTTTTTGGTGGATYTRTGTGCCYTGTAGCTGGTCTAGGGTTTCTCATCAAAATCAGGAAAAACTGGAGAAAGGGGAAGAGTCTTGTTTCTGTTGGACTCTTCAATTTTGACCTAGGAAGTAGGAAGTGGCGCCCTAATTTTTTAGGGTTCCTTGGAGTTTTCTATAAGGGGCGGTTCAAGTCCTGCCTGATTTGGAGGCTTGTAGAGAGAGCGGCTGCCTCTTCTCTCTCTTCTCCCGTCCCACAAAAAAGGAATCTTTTGTGGGAAGACAATCTAGGACACCAGAAAGGTGTTGTTGGTTCCAGAAGTGTTTCGTTTGATCTTGTTACATATTTTAGTTATTTTCTTTACATTTTTTGAGAAGCATTGAGGGTCACGAAGTTGAAAATAAGCCCGGGAGTGAAATAGGACCAGTGGGAGGACGTGTTGGAGACCTTTTCGGGACTGGGACCATTACTATAGTTAGGTTGGATGGTGCAAATTACTTAGAATGGTCACAATCTGCTAAAATGGCCATTGGTGCTCGTGGGAAATTAGGGTATATCACTGGGGTGAGGAAGTGAAACCCGAAACTAGCAACTCCCGGTGGGTATAGGAGAATTATATGGTGATGACTTGGTTGTGTAATTCCATGTTGCCCCATATGGGATGGGGATGCAGAAACCTATTCACAGAGGGAGAATGTTGCTAGGGCTTATCAGTTGAGAAATCATATTATTTCTACAAAGCAGGGAGATAAAACCTGTTGCAGCCTATTTTTCAGCCCTTAAAACCCTGTGGCAAGAGATTGACCATTTAGAGACATTTGCTTGGTAAACCACTAAGGATGCAGCTACCTATCAGAAACATCTAGATAAAGTATAGGGTGTTTGAATTTCTTGTTGTCCTTAATCCTGAGTATGATATTGCAAGACAGCATCTTCTTTCCAGGGACAGTGTTACCCTCTCCCAGGCATATACTTTGTGTTAGGGGAGGAGAGATGTGATAATGAAAAATCCTGTTTCTGATCAGTCTACCATAGTGAATACTGTGAAACCTAAACAAAGTGGAGATCGGGGTGGCAGTGAAATCAAGAAGGAAGATAAAAGAGATTTGATCTGTGACTACTGTAAGAAGCCTAAACACACAAGAGATACTTGCTGGAAGCTTCACCCACGTCTTGTGCCGGCTAGACTGAAAAATAAGAAGGGAAATGCACACATGGCAGTTACTGGTGCCATTTCGGCCCCACCTACTACAGCTGCTCTGGAGTCTGTTGCAATTGCTGCAGTAAGGGCCGAACTTGAGAGGTATGGGCAACTTTTGAACCAGCGGGATACAACCAGTTCCAGTTCAGTAGCAAGCGGACAACAAGGTACAGGTGGCACTAGTGGAGTCCACTCTACTACCTTTGCTCACACAGGTACTTCACACATCACTGCAAATTATGTTTCTACTTTAGGTAACCTCCTTGGATTATAGATTCTGGAGACTCAGAGCACATGACCCATAGCTCTACTATTTTTTCTTCTTACCAGCTCTGTTCTAGCAGAGATAGGGTCTCCACAGCTTATGGATCCCATGTTCCTATTGCTGGGAAGGGATCTATCAAGATTAGTGATTTTATTTCTCTACCCTCGGTCCTTCATGTTCCTAGATTGAGCACTAATTTGTTATTTGTTAGTAGTTTGATTAAGAACCTGCTGCTCAGTAATTTTTTCTCCTGGTCATTGTATTTTGCAAATCTGGATTCAAAGAGGACGATTGGGAGTGGTCGTCAAGTGAATGGGATCTACCTCCTGGATGTTCTTCCTCCTCATCAGAGTCATTATGTCAGCAGGGATAGTGAGTTAGGGTCTATTAGTTTGTCATGTTTGGAGTGTGAAGGTTGTCAACTTGGAAAGCATTGTAGACATTCATTTAAACCTAGTAATAAAAGGTGTTCTTCTTCCTTTGATGTTATTCATTCAGATGTGTGGGGACCTTACCATGTTCCTTCTATGGGAGGCTATCGATATTTTCTCTTATTTGTAGATGATTTCTCACGATACTCTTGGATTTACCTGATGAGATCCCGCGATGAAGTACCATCCTTGGTGAGGCAATTTCATCAKATGGTGCTAACACAGTTTGGAACAAGAATAAAGGTGTTTAGATCAGATAATGCCAGGGAATATTTTGAAAAACACCTTGCTTCATATCTGTTAGAATATGGTGTTGTCCATCCGAGCAGTTGTCCCTACATTCCACAGTAGAATGGTGTTGCAGAAAGAAAGAATAGACACATTGTTGAGATTGCAAGAAGCATGATGAGCACATCTACAGTTCCAGTTCGGTTTTGAGGTGATGCAGTTCTCACAGCAGTATATCTGATTAACAGGATGCCCTCTCGTATACTTGGATTCAACACCCCATTCAGTCTCCTTTTTCCTAAGGGGGAGATGTTTCATATTCCTCTCAGGGTGTTTGGGTGTGTCTGCTTTGCACATGTCCTTGGTCCTCACTGCTCAAAGCTTGATCCCAAGGCAAAGAAGTGTGTCTTCCTTGGATATGCAGAAAATCAAAAAGGGTACTACTGCTATGATCCAGTCTCTAGGAGCCGGTATGTTACCATGGATGTCACTTTTTTTTAATCCACATACTTCTTTTCAAAGAATCCTTCTCAGGGGGAGTGTTTTGGGGAAGTGAGTCAGCAGTCTATTCCTCTCCCAGTTCCAGTTCCAGTCCCAGTGTCTACTCCTGTGCTTGACCATCCTGTGTCACCTACCTTACCACCTCCTTTGCGTCCTGCTTCTCAGCATTACTTACGACAGAGACTTTACAAGGAAGTTGATTCCGTTGCAGCAGAACTCACATCACTTTCTGTCGATTCCTTGGAGACTCTAGATTCAGCTGACATGCATTCAGGTATTCCTCTTGGTCTCGCTACTGTTTCAATTCCCATTGATTCTACTAACCCTGTTACAGATAACCTTGATCTTCCTATTGCTCTCAGAAAAGGGAAGAGAAAGTGTACTGCACATTGTATTTCACAGTACTTATCCTACAGTGGACCTTCTCCTTCCTACCGTGTTTTTCTTTCCTCCCTTGACTCAGTGTCTATACCCAAGGGTGTTAGTGAGGCTCTCTCCAAACMTGAGTGGAAGACAGCTATGCAGGAAGAGATGGCAACTTTGATTAAGAATCAGACATGGGACATTGTGGATCTACCAGAAGGCAAGGAGACAGTTGGATGCAGATGGGTTTACACGGTAAAATATAAGGCAGATGGAAGTATAGAAAGGTACAAGGCAAGACTTGTTGCAAAAGGGTACACACAGACCTATGGTGTTGATTACTTTGAGACCTTTACACCGGTTGCAAAGATGACCTCTGTTCGGATACTTCTTTCTCTTGCTGCCTCATACTCTTGGCCCTTGTTTCAACTTGATGTGAATAATGCTTTCATAAATGGGAATCTTCAAGAGGAAGTGTATATGAATCTTCCTGCTAGCTTTTACAGTGATACTGAAAAGGGAAAGGTATGTAGGCTTAAGAAGTCACTTTATGGCTTGAAACAATCTCCCAGAGCATGGTTTGACAAATTCATAAAGGTTTTGATTGCTTTTGGATACACTCAGACTCAATCCGATCATACCTTGTTTGTGAAGCGAAGGGGATCTTTGGTGTCAGTCCTAATTGTTTATGTGGATGATATTGTTGTCATGGGGAATGACCTAAGTGAGATTGATTGTCTAAAAAAGGAATCTACATAAAGAATTTGAAATTAAGGATCTTGGAGAACTGAGATACTTCCTAGGCATTGAAGTTGCAAGATCAAAACATGGAATTTTTATTTCTCAAAGAAAGTATGTCTTGGATCTTCTTCAAGAGACAAGGAAGCTTGGAACGAAGGCAATCAGTACCCCTATTGATCAAAACCATAGAATCAATGCATCAGAAGGCGAACCAGTAAAGGACATTGGAAGATATCAAAGACTTGTGGGTCGGTTGCTATACTTGTGTATGACAAGACCAAACATTTCCCATGCAGTAAGTGTGGTAAGTCAATACATGCATGCTCCACGAGTCCAACATTGGAAGGTAGTTGACAAGATTCTTGCTTATCTGAAGGGACACCCGGGCAGAGACATATTGTTTACTGATCATGGACAGTTGAAACTAGAGGCTTATACAGGTGCAGATTGGGCAGGATGCCTTGATGACAGGAGATCAACTTCAAGAGTGTACACCCTTGTTGGGGGTAACCTTGTCTCTTGGAAGAGTAAGAAACAAACAGTGGTGGCAAGATCAAGTGTTGAAGCTGAATACAGGGCCATGGCACATGGAGTTTCAAAACTTCTCTGGATTCATTCCCTATTAGATAAAATTGGTGTACATGTAGAAGAACCTATGATGTTATACTGTGATAACCAGGCAGCAATTAACATTGCCCATAAGGTGTTGCAAAGAACAAGTTGGAGCATGATCTACGCAAGTTGGGAATGTGTTACATTTACTCCCAACTTGAGGGGGAGTGTTGAGTTGGGCCTAATTGTTTTTTATTTTTATTTTAAGCTATTTAGTTAGGAAGTTGTTGGGCTTTAGGCCCATTAGTTTATGTTTTTAAGTTGTGACTGTTCAGCTACATTAGTAGCCGCCCTACTAAGGGCATCCTTGTAATATCTCATCCTTTAAGTTAAGTATAAATATAATGAGGGGTTGGCGGCTAGGGTTAATTCAAGAATCCTGGTTGACTTCCTACTATTTTCTCCCTCTCTTTTCTTCTCTACTACCAAAATCTTTATCTTCCTCCCCTTTTCCTTTCACAAGAAATTCAACTAAATCTACAATCAGTGATTTCTACTGAAAGCATTCTTAACTACTCAATCTTCAATTGGAAAATAAGCAAGAAGATTGATTTTTTTTATTCCTTTACCTGATGAAGCTTGGCAAGTACTTTGGCTGTCACACAAAAAATTGAACTACATTAAGAAAAGAAAGAAGAAATAGGAAAAAGGAGAAAAAAACATCAAGCAAAAAACAAATTTAAGTGGAAGCCTGTAGCATCTGCATAATAGAAAATGATATCTGCCAACTGCACTAGGCAGCATCAGGTGCATGTATGGAAGGGATGCCATCTTTCAGGTAAGGGTAAATTTCTTAAACTACCCTTGTGGTTTAGCTAATTGACTAAGTATACCCCTACTGTTTGACTATTGTCTAACACTACCCTTACTATTTCGAAAAAATTGTCATTGCCGTTAAAAGATTGATGGAAGGACTGAAATGTCCATTTTGCCCTTATGCCAAATTGGAAGCTCCTTCGGTTCTTCTTCATCTTCCTCAGTATGGTCATCGCCGCCCAATCCTTCACCAACATCTCCTCTCTTATCTCTTCCCTCCTCTCCCTCAAAATCTCTATCCCATCACCGTCAGGCTAGTCAATTCTTTCTTTTCCTCAGCCTCCTAAGGTTCGAGTTCTTCTGTTCTGATGAACAGGGGAGCTGGTGTTTTGACTTCTAAAAAGAACGTCGGTTCACATCCAGAGAGAATGGCTTCTCAGTAAAGAAAGGAAAGGTACAAAAAAAACCTTGTAAAAGGGTCCCTCTGTTAGTGTTTTTTTGATTCACAGAGAGAACTTAAAAGGGTCTATCCGTTAATCTAGGTTCTTAACATTGTACCTTGATTCTGGTCTCTATTGTTTCTGTAGAGAACACTGATGTGGACCCCACTGCTGTGGACCCCACTGTGTTCGTATGACAGCATATTTTTTGTTAATTTATTTTTGTTAGTTATTTCAGTTTGTTATTACAGCTTGTTATTTCAGCTTTATTATTAGTTTATTTGCCATGTAAGCAATAAGGGCAATTCAACCCTTTTACAATTAGTCAACATATATAAATATTAAGAGTGCCATGTCAGCAGATCAACTGATCAACCCTCTCTCTCTTTTCAAAATCTCTTTGTGTGATTCTTCTCTTTTCTCCCTCTCTTCTTCTTCTCTTCTGAAATTTCTTCTTTCTTTTCTTTTGAATTCAAGACTGATTGTAGTCTTGATCGACTACTGTTTCTTCCAGGAAGAGAGATTTCGTGGTTGAGAATAAGACCTCTGAAGTTCCAATAGAATGATTCTGATTCCGTTGTTGCTGATCATTTCGTAACCTTTGCTTTATGAGAAAGTTCTGTATTTGCCAGGATCGTCTTTTAACTGACTTCAATCCCAGGAACCAATCCACCTGAATATCTGGGTTACTTTTTGTATTGAAAGCCAAAATGAAGCTAAATAGTTAGCATATCACCAAAGCTGATTCTAGATGACTTTGGACTGCGAAACTGAGGTTCGTAGGTTTCTGGGTTGATTTGTTTTCTTTTTCTCCTTTGATATTTTGAACCTATCCTACAACTCGAGTGGAGGAGGTCTTTGGTTTTCAACATTAGAGCTCGATTAGAGTCCACCCATCTTGTGTTCTATTTAACCAGTTTAGATTTTTCAGGAGTTAGACAGTATTTATAAGGTTTTTTTTTGTACCTAGACTAGAGCTATCGAATTTGGCCCTGAAACTGTTATCCTTTTCTTTCTTCTAAAGAGCTCAAGAAGCTAGATTAACGGATGGACCCTTTTAAGGTATCCATCACCGAAATAGCAAAAATAAACTAAAATAAAAACCAGTGAAAAACAGTAACAACAGAACATGATAGTTCGATTTGCTGTGTTTTTTCTGCAATACCTCAACCGTGTGTACGAGATTTTGAAAGGAAGACAACAGCTCGGTTTGCAACAGAACACAACAGTTCGGCTTGCCACTGTTGAAAGGAAGACAACGGTGAATATGAAGATGGACGGAGGGTAAAATTGGGTTTTGCAAAAATTTATATGTCAGGTGTGTACGAGTTTTAACGGAATATTAACGGATGCTGACGGTAAGGGTAGAGTTAGTGAGTTGTCAGAAAATGTAGGGGTAGCGTTAGACAATAATCAACCAGTAGGGGTATACTTAGTCAATTAACTAAACCATAAGGTAGTTTAAGAAATTTACCCTTCAGATAATGCCTACTCAAGAGATCTATGAAAAAACTAATTTGTTTAACTGATCCTAAGAATATGAAAAAAATAACAGATTAGATGGTAGGGATAATCTTATCTGGTCAAAGTTTGACCTAGAAATTATACTCTAGGTCTCATCCCCAGAATGTGGGACACATACTACTGTACAGTTGACAGATCATCCATATGGTCAAATGGCCAACACCTTAAATTTCCCAATAGAACAAAGTCTATATTTCCAGAAAACAGAATCCACAAATCAACCCAATAAAAAATCAATTGAACTCACATGGTGGGATAGATCAGCATCCATGATTACAACAAATTCCCCAGATGCATGCTTCAGTCCATGAGAATATGCAGTTCCTGAAATTAAATACAGATAAATTATTTCTTCCCAACTACGTAATGCTTTGTGCAGAAAAGAATAGGTACATACCTAAGCCAAGCTTCTTTGGTCTAGCTCTTAATAGCTGCATTATCAAAGAATAAGATTAAGGGGTGGTTATTACAAGTGACTAAAGAAAAATTCATTGAAAGGACAGGGAAGAAAATGTCAAACATAGATTCGACTTCTCTCCTGGAAGTTCTTACAATGCGATCTTCTCCATATACTTCCTGTAACTGTCTTACAACTTCTTGAGTCCCATCAGGACTTCCATCATCCACAACAATTATTTCAAAATCCTCATCCCTAAACCAAGCAGAAAAGGGTTGTCAAAGTTACAGTGATGAAACACATTCTGGATCTTACAGAAGATAATAACAGTACCTTTACATAGAATATCTTTATACATAACAGAGGCATGTTGTCTGACTACCTAAGAGATCATAGACCACAATTCAGCCTGTTCAAATAACAGTATTTTCCTGGGCCTTGAGATATACTTTTTGAAGCATCTAAAGAAGCACATTGGCATAAAGAATTTATGTGGGTGGGATGCACCACACATGTAATAGACTCTGTTATGACAACGTTAAACAATAATCCCAGTTTAATTAAACTAACAACTAAGCACCATCAAAAAGTCAGAGATTGGGAGTTATACAATTATTAGAGAACCATTGTGACTAATTAACTTCAGTTGTTCATTCTTAGAATTTCTGTTTAGAATCCCTTACAGGAGTACCTCATGGAAAATCTATAAACTTGAAGGGATTCTCCACAATTTTTGTTTGGATATTTTTTTTATATTTTTGAAAGGTAGAAGTATAAATTTATTGATCAAAAAAGGGGAACAACCCATAGATTCAATATCAGATCCTTCGAGGGAAAAGGACCACTGTGAACCATGCACATCATTTACAATCAAGAAGAAGTGCTAGAGCAATCGCATAAACCAATGATTGCAAAAACACTGAAATGAAAAAACCCTGAACTCCTTTCTGATGCTGGCCTATTTGATTAAGATGCTCTCTGATCTGCTGATCACTGATTCCAGTTGAGAAGATGAACCTTTAAAGATCTAATTATTTCTTTCACCCAACAAAACCCAGCAGATTACTAGGGGTGTGGAGCACCACAAGTATTTGTTTGGAAAATTTATTAGAAGGATTATTTAGGCAGTTTAGACATTTAAAAAGACCTTGCTAAAATCTCAATACATGTTTTCTTCATTCTGAAGATAAAAACCACAACCACCAATTTTGCAGCTTCCGCTCCTGAAGGAAAACTTGCTACAGCCTCTGTTAAGCATTTCTGTACCTCAATTACCAATCACCATTTAAATGTGGCAAGTGCTTTTTACCCTAAAGGAAGCAACATAAGTGCTACCCAGGAGCAAATCCCAAACAAAGAACTTAACTTACTACTTTGCCTAAGGTCTTTCAAGGCTCCAAGCCATTGAATCATTGTGGTTAAGATGTTTGAAACTTTTAGGCCCCTATAAAATATTGCAGAAAACCACATATGAATCTCAGCCTCATAGGAACCAGGCTAGTCATTTTGAAGACTTTCTCCAGACCAACCTAGAAGGCAAGCACTAAACATAAAGTCTAAATCTCTTTCAGAATGTTTGAATATATTCTTCAATTTCCCTTTCGAAATTAAGCCAAGGAAGAGAGACACTACAATTCATATTTCAAGCTATTAGTAGGTCAGAAGACCCATCAATACTAACCAATATGACAACCCAGATTCCTGGTTTCTCAGGAGAAAATACAAATGTTTTTAACTACCCATTGTAATACAGGCTATCTACCTAATTATTTGGTCCATTAGCATTATAAATACCTTCACAGAGGGAATTAAGTGCATTCACTTTATTTATTAATGAAAACTCCAAACCTTAAATACATGAAGCACAATAGAGCTGAGGACCAGATATAAATTCCAAAGGTTAGAGAAGAATTGACAGTCAACATGTTAAATGACCAAAATATAATGTCGTGTATCCAAAACCAAAACTTTTAAGAGTAACTACCCCAAAACAAAGTTACTAGTACAAAACATGTGAATTTAAAGGTGGAGACGATAAAAGCCAGGCCAACGTAGCTTCTTGAGGAAGGATAAGGATGTTGTCAGGAAAGAGATAAGTTAGGCATGGCATAATAAAACAAGACCACTAAGGTAGAAGCTTCAAGGTTTATTCTGCAATAAATCAGGAAAGAAATCCATGAACAGGACAAATCTTATTTGTGTTCTGAAATATAAATTTGAAGTTCATCTTGCAGTTTTTCCCATAGGCATTTTCATCTGGGGATGCTTCCTTAACTTACATGAATTCTTTGTTTGTATATTTTTGAGAACCCCATCATGTTCAAAGCTTTGTCCCAAGCCTGGCTGACAGCAGAAATCCCACTCTGTTCTCCCATACCACATAGGATCATAATGCATGTGCCAATACATCCTTTCTCACTACCTTGATTTAACTTGTTTGACATAATGTTTTTGGTAAGGGTTTCATATAATTTTGATTAACTAAAAAAGTGGTGTAGCTATCGCTATATCGTAAACAAACTTACATTGATAAATCATCATCACCTATTTTTCCTGAGAAGTGAGAGTCAAAAGAATTTGTTTTAATGGGAAAAATAAGGTGTAGAAGATTATGGACATTGGACAAAAAATAATAGATCATCTTGAACTGTACAATCAAATCAGTAATGCACAAAGAGAAGTGAGAGTCAATATAAAAAAGTGGTGCCGCTATCATTATATTGTAAAAAACTTACATTGATAAATCATCATCGTGAGAGTCAAAAGAATTTGTTTTAATAGGAAAAATAAGGTGTAGAAGATTATGGACATTGGTAAAAAAATAATAGATCATCTTGAGCAGTTGAACTGTACAATCAAATCAGTAATGCACAAAGAGAAGTCAATATATCCCCTTGGCCTTCATCTTTCTGGTTATTCATTTCAAAGCAGTAGCACAAAACCCAAAACTTGTCTAATCTCACTACCTTTAGGCACTTTTGGAATATCGCCATGAGATGGTACACCTGAAACCAACTAGAAAAGGCCATGATATCTGCCCTTACCACCACCTTCATCATTGTTAATTATGATTATCTCCTACACTAACTAGTATGTAAGGAAAAATGATAACCTGTCGATTTATTGAGATGTGAAGGAAAAAAGTACTTTGCTATATCACACACTCCCCAATATTACGGCATATTTTGATTTTGTGGATCTTCTACATACTACTTAGGAATTTTAACAGAAAATACGAATCCTACAATCTTAGGTTGAACCCTAATTTGATTCGAATCCCACTCCCCTTACTAATTCCCGATCCAATTCAACCACGAGAACAGCAAATTTTCTCTTCTCTATATAAATTCGATGCCACATAATCATGGTCAATACTGGAAAATCTAATTTTGGGTCTTATATAAGTTTTAGTTGTGATACAATTTAACGTTCTTTTTCTTCTATAGCTCAAACTCAATATCATTGCTTATACTGGGTTCAAGTTATTGCTCATAGAATCGTTCTTTCAAAGTTGAACCGACAACAGTTCTATATTAATGCTATAGCAAGGACCTTACAAACAAAGAAGAAGAAGAAGAAGAAGAAGAAGAAGAAGAGTACGAGAATATGAATTAGTGAAGAAAAGACGGGTTTTCTGAATTCCGGTTCAGCCATCCATGGTGGAAAACTGGAAAAATCAAGAAATAGAAAGGAAAGAGAGAGGGGTTTTCACTTTTCAGGGACCTGAGATGCTTGAAGATGAGATAGACGAGGAGGGCAATGTTGAGACGCTCGTTGTATGTAGGAACGATGATGCTGTATTTGTTGCTCCTTCGCTGCTCCATTTTTACTCTCTCTCTCTCTCTCTCGCTTTCCCCCTTTGTTTTACTTTTTTCTAATAAAACCAACACGGATTCCCGTTTCCCGACCCCGATTCTCCCTTGACTTCCCTGAGAAGAAGAACACGATTCTTCCAGGAGATCTTGCATTCTGCACAGCCTTTTTCCAGCGTGAAAGTTGACGTAATTTCCAAGTAACATCCAATGATAATTTGACACGTATAGCTTCCGGAATTGCAAAACCGCCATTCGACTCACAGAAATTCGATGCCCCGAGCCCCTCCATTCTCTCTTTTATGACCATCGATGCAAACGGATCGTACCGGATTCGAATCTAATTCGACACTGTTATTCTCTTAAGAACCAATCCGAAAATCTGATCGAATCTCATAAGTATAAGTATGGATTCGAATTTAAAGATGAAAAAGTTGGATTTTGGGATATGATCTAATTTAATTTAAATTTTATAAAAAAGTAGTCAATTATTAAAAGAAAAATAAAAAATAATAATTAAAAAAAAAAAGAAAAAACAAAAATTACAAGTATATTTTCAATTATTTCATCATATATATACATGTTTTTATAAAAAATAATTAATATAACAAATTTATAAAAATGCAATATAAATAATATATATAGTGTGTGTTTTGTTCCATGGGCATTTTGTGATAGGCATTTATTAAAACGTCGCCATGTCATCGCCAAATCAGCATTCAGCCCATCATGGTGATCCGTACACATAGATACTCACAAAAGCTGGCCTTAATTTATGTGTGTGCCTACCGTTGGGTTTGAAGATTCCCCCAACCGTTGGGTTTGAAGCTTCCCCCAACAATTAGGCGTTTATTCACTGTTTTGCTGATGTGGCGCCTAATGGTACCTACTTGTCATATACAGTTGACATTATTACTTTTCTCGATTTTGAAGATAAATCAAGTACAAATGTTTAGTTGATAAACAGAAGCTCTACCAAACACATGCATAAATTACAGATATGTGGTTGGGCCTAAAGTATCAAGTCTGGTCCATGTCAAAAAGGATCACCCCAATATCATTTGTAATATTGTGATGTGTAAAATGACGTGCTAGGTGCTAGTATGATAAAAGGGAAGGAAATGAAGCGGGTGATACCGTACATGACCATCATCATTGTAGGAGCTTGAAAGGTGTGGGTCGGGTCTGAGATCCATGACTTTCTCGCCTTTACAACTGCCATCAATAGGGGTGGATTCAAGCCGAGCTGAGCCGAATAATTGGCTATTCGAGCTTGGCTCGCTGGAATTGTGTTAGGCTTGAACTCGATATGAGCTAGAGACTTGAGCTCAAGCTTGGCTCAATTCAAAGCTCGCAAGTTCAAGCTTGGCTTGGCTCGAGCTAGACCGCAAACCATGTTTTTTACTAAAAAATAAAAATTATATATATAATTATTTTTTTATTTTACATACAAAAATTAAGAATTATAAAAATTATTTACTAGTATACATAAAAAATAAAAATATTATATATAAATAAAATTATTTATTATATATATGTATATGTATATGTATATGTATATGTATGTATGTGTATAATAAAAAATTATTTATTTATTACACTAGGGTCGATTAAGCTTGCGAGCCTCACGAGCTAAGCTTCATTAGGCTCAAGTTCGGCTCAATTAGCAAATGAGCCTATATATCAGGCTCGAGCTCAACTCGAAGCTCGATTTAAACCGAGCCAAGCTGAACTCAAATAATTCATGAGAAGCTCGACTCGTGGCCACCCCTATCCATCAACATAGGCTACACAACTTCTATTTCATCATTATCTTCTAAACCCACCTACTAACAGCGCAACCACTTATTCAGTCCCATGGGATCAACCTCTCTACCAAAATAAGGGATGTAGTCGTCATGCATCAAATGCTTGTACGATAAAATGACAAAGAAGTCTAGTTTGAAAACTCAAAGAATAACCAACATTACCAACCACCAAACTTCTCTTCCTCCATCCCCTTTCTTCTAAGTAGGAATGGCAACAGGGCGGGGATTATATTCCTTATCCCCGACCCCAACCCCCAAATCACCCCCATCCCCGTCCCCGATCCCCGACGAGAAAAGGAATCCCCCCTCCATCCCTGTCCTCAAAGGGTTTTACTATCGATTAATTGAGTGTTTTATTGTTTAAGTGTTTTACTTCTTTTTAAGTTTTAATCTTTTAAAAAACGAATAATGATTATTATAATATATAATATATATATATATAATTATATAGATTAATCGGGGATGGGTCGGGGCGGGGATTACATTTCCCGTCCCCATCCCCGTCCCCGATCAGGGATTCAGGGGTAGCCCCATCCCCGACCCCAACCCCACCAAGGTACCCCCCATCCCCGATCCCATCGAGTCGGGGAGCCTAGGTACCCATCGGGGACGGAGAAAATTGCCACCCCTATTTCTAAGATTCTAAATTTGATAACCACCAATTCCAACTTAATGCCCTACAACTTGCATCTCTTCTATAAATTATATATCCGTTTGTAACCTTAAGAGCTATCTTGTCTTCACTTGGATTTATAGCCAATTTCAAACATCTTCTTCATACATTTTATGCCAAGTATGATACTTTTTTATGGTAATAGAGAATGATCCACTCCCGTTACATGGAATCTCAGGAAGCGACGTAACATGCTAATCGATGATTAGGCTACAAACTTTTACTTAACTCACCCACTGACCATGAGCTTAGAGACAGCGTGAATGTTAGTTAATTGTGGCGTCGGAGACCCGAATCCCCAACGAACTGAAGACCGAGAGTCTGAGAATGAGAGTTAGAGAGAGAGAGAGAACCGTTGCGAGAGCTAAGGTCGGCGATGAGAGAGAATCTGAAGGGCGAGGCGACGGCGATAGCGATGGCAGCAGGAGATGATGACGAAGGTTGAAGGAAGATTAAAGAACTGAAACTCTTCTTTTAACTAAGTTGCCTCTATCCTAATTCCTAATTACAATTTAACCTAGTTTTCTAGTTCCTATTTAACTAAGTTGTCTCTATCCTAGTTTCTATAGTCTTTTACACCAAATAGCCAACTAATTAGGCAATTACAATTAGAATTAGGTGTCCTTTTTTACTTAGATTAGAACTTAGAAAGTTTCTTGAAATATATAAATTTTAGCCTTCTTTCTATAAAACAGTTTGACTTTCTATTTTCTTGACAACTTTTGTCTTCTATTCTAATTCTAACTTTTTAAATATATTTCCAGAAAATATCTTAAAAACTTCAGTTTTCAGTTTTCAGAATAGATATTTCCTTCTAGGCTTCTATGTCCTTTTTGTACAGGAGCAAAACCGAAACTGACCCAAACCGATCCAACCCGACTCAAACCGACCAGGTTGGTTTTACTTAACACTGGGTCGGTTTCGGTTTCCATCTCAAGTAACCCAACCAGGTCGGGTTGGTTGGGAAAACCCCAATAAACCGACCCAACCCGACCCGTGAACAGCCCTACCGTCGGGGACGGGGAAAATTGCCACCCCTAGATCTAAGATTCTAAATTTGAATCCCACCAACTCTAACTTAATGCCCTACAACTTGCAATCTATCTCTAAACGTAATCTTTTCTATTAATTGTATATCCGTTTGTAACTGTAAGAGCTATGTTGTCTTCACTTGGATTTATAGCCAATTTCAATCATCTTTTTCATGCATTTTATGACAAGTATGATACTTTTTTATGGTAATAGAGAATGATCCACTCCAGTTACATGGAATCTCGGGAAGTGACGTGACATGCTAATCGATGATTAGGCTACAAACTTTTACTTAACTCACCCACTCACCATGCTCATTATGACCTTAGAGCCAGCGTGAATATTAGTTATTTGTGCCCATGAAAGGTTGAATCTACATGAAACTTGGTTATACGATGTTGGGATTCACGTATGAGTAGTTGAAAGAGAATCCCTTGGAAAAGAATGAAATGTATAAGGGACTTGTATACAAGAGTGGCCCATAACACAATAGTTTAAGCTTTTGGGTTGTATGTGGTGTCCCTTTCTTGTACATAAATCCTAATGTGTATGTGTACAAGAGCCTAGTTTTGATGACTCCCCTCAATGCATAACATATGTGATGAGGGGCGATTTGGCCCTTTAGTGACATCACACTATGTGGCATTCTAGAACCGTCGCACGACACCCTGACACTACGTAGGCAATGACTTGCCTTAGCCAAAATGATGGTGACCTCCTTAGAACCACGTCGAATGCACTTTGCACACCCTAAGAGCGCTTTGTCACCACCTCGCCATAGCCGACTTGTAGACACATCTTCAGGATTGGACCGACCACCTTAGGACCGAACTAGAGACCTTAACATGAAGGGCAACCTCCTGCCGAGGTCTCACTGACCTGACTAAGGTCTAGATAGCGACCTGCACCTTGGCTAGGGCTGACCTGTCGGCACCTCACACACTTAGGCAAAGCACACTGAGGTCCAGTTAGCGACTTGCATGATGTGTTGGCCAACCTCCATTACATGTCGGCTATCATCTCCAAATCCTTTGAGATCATGTCACCTCACCAACGGAGCTAACTCCCACCCCGCCCACTTCGAAGGCAACCAAATAGGCTCTATCACTTTACACGGAAGCAAACTCCGAGTGAGGCAAGAAGGTAAACCACGTCCTCCTAGAGATCTTGGACGGGCTATGTGAAGTTTACAACAACCTGCACCTATATAAAGGCATCTCATTAATCAGGGAAGGTATGTGCGATATAGCTCTATTGCTCTCTCGCTTTCTAGCATTCATACTCTTTGTTGACTTAAGCATCGGAGTTCCCACCCTGGGTACTCTAATTACTACTTTCTTGCAGCTCGATCAACTGACCTCACCACTTTGATGCCCGAGCTGTCCTCCATTAGGGAACACCAGATCGTGCACCATTAATTGGCATTGTCTGTGGGAAATGCTACAAAAGCCTTCTCACTCCTCTTGCTAAGTACTCAATGGTCAACTAGTGACAACAACAGCAACACCTAGATTGAAGGAACCCCTGCAGGGAAACATAATCAAAATAACCAGCCCAAACAAGTTCCAGCGGTCTTACCCAAACAGAATCTCCCAACCCGGATTGTGGAAACCACAAGTCAAGCCCTCCATGGATCCCCTAGGAGTTGATGGCCAACAGATTGTGGAGCCTCCCTTGCAAGTTAAGCCATCCATGGTTCCCGTGGGGGTTGATGGCCAATAGACTATGGAGCCA